GTGAACATCGGTATGAGTAACTTGAAGTTACATAAGAGTAGAAGAAACTTGAAGAAATTTTGTCTCAATACACAGTGTTGCGACTTTTAAGCGACATTTTTTAACCAAGTCATTCTTTTCCCACACCTATCTAACAAAGAACACAAAATTGATGTCGAGCAATCTTTTAAATAGATTTCTATAATCTGATTCAGAGTTTTTCCGGTTAAATGCTCTAAGGCTAAGGTAAGCATTTAACATATTAATGAATCACTGACAGATCGTTCCTTACTTTATTTTAATTTTTTACGCACGAGTTACTCTTTCTGCTAAAATTAGCTCAGTTCCCATAAAATACTCCAACGATTATACGACACTGTATAAGAAATTGTAGACATTAACCAAATTAATTACGGTAGAAGGCCACTATACGTACTGGACAAATTTTTCACAACATTTTTGTTTTTTTTTTGAGAGACAATAACTTAAAATGGGACACTAATAAGCATTAGTTCTCGTTATTAGTACGTGTTGTAACGGATTTTAAACTTTTGATTACCTTAAACAAATATTTGGAACGTGGTAATTATTTTCTGTTCTTTTTCGGTAGAACTAATTCTTCGTCTTTAGTATTCTTTTGTGAAGAACTTTTGGTCTTATTTTATAGATTTCTGCCAAGAACGAGTATTTTTATCGTAAGGTTCATGATTTTCTTATATGCAGTTATCGTTGACATAAATTAAAAACAACGAAGGTCCAAACGCACAACCCTGAGGAACTTGATTTTCATATAATTGTACGAATTGTCTTCTTATTATAAAACACTGATAAAATAAAAGACGTCTTTAGCAGCATCAAAAATATGTTTGGTATTTATCATTAACTTTGGTTAATCAATAATAATTGCAAATTACAACATGGAACATTCAAGAATAATGCTATTTGTTTTTGTAAATAATATTCGCAAACCTCAAATAATAATAGTTTAATGATGATTATAAAGTAATAGATAGTTTTCACCGTTCGTGCATTAATTAACTAGGTAGTAATTAGAGAGCGCAGCACTAGGCTATTTGCATATCGCTTATTTTTATAACCCGACTAAATCCTCTGGCATCTATTGACAGAATTGTTGTCCGTGTGACGTCGCTTTAACAAAGCTGTGTACAATTTCGAATGTATGAGATGGTTATACTGACACAGGATATATCGATAAAATGCAAAACAGCGAAAAATTAAAGAAACCGATTGTCTAAATGATAAAAACGTTTTCTAATTTACAGTTCTAAAAACTAGAATCCTTTAGATGAGATGCAATCTATTCTTTTTAATGAAATTGAATGCAACGCATTAAAAAAAACTTGTCTAGTTGAACGTCAGCCACTTCGATAAAGCACAGTAAAGGACCGAGAATTGTTCCATGACGAACCCCAAACATTGTATCAAATATTCTTGACCTAAATTTATTATATTTAGTTTTAGTGGTGATCATAAAAGTTTCACAAAGTAAATTTTTTTGGAAAAACTCGTTTTTGATGAATCCTGACTTTCACGTAATGTCGGAAACGTGACGTTTGTATAAATAATTGAAGTTTATAATCTCTGTCAATTTCACAAGTAACTCGAAAATTAACAATTAGAATCTGAGTAGTTCAAAAATATTAAAAACACGCTCTTTCTATGTTTGACTTAGTTGCAGAGTTCGCAAAACCAAAATCTATGCAATTAAAACCCTCGTGAAGAAGACGTAAAGAGCAAGAAATAAGAGAACGACGTCCACCGCGGCACTCAACTGGTTAATTTATAATCTAAAGTAAATTTATAGGTCACTTAGAGCCTTGCTTGCGATAGCTTCAGAAAAACGTGTTCAGTTTAGTTTTTTTTCTCGGTGAGAACGGTATCGCCCGTAAGCTGAAACAGGCTGAAAGCAAGGGCTGTCAGAAGGAACACAGGTACTAACATGTGAACTTGAGATACCTACTCGGTTCCAGTAATTAACAAGCGGATTTATTAAGGATTGGCCACATGTTCGCTGCAGCTAACATAGCCTACCGTTACAAATACGAACACCTAACCTAACTGGCTTCCAAGTCACGAAAACTCTTCACAACAATCCGTTTCACTACTTTGAATAAATATCGACGGATTATGTTTAATTATTGGGCTGTTGTTGTGTTTGCGAGTGCCTTTAATGCAAACAATTCCACCTCTAGTGAACTCTCAACTTTGCCATACTGGGTTATTTGTTATTGTGTCAACTGATATATAACTCGTCCTTCATTCCGTGCATTACTGCATTTCCTGAAACATAATGCACCTCAGGACTCCGCGTTCGAGATAAACTAATGATCTTCTCTTCCCTGTATCACCGACTGCAGAGATAAGATTTTGACGATTGTAAGCACGTGACTTATTTAACCATTCCAAGCTTTGACAGGAAAGGATCAAATTAAAATTAGTTGAATAATCGGGATGCATTTCGCCATTGCTAAAATATAAACGCCAACATCAAGTTTTAATAAAGTGTAGATATATTTTAATTATACATATGATATAAAAAAAAAGTGAAGTGAAAGTGTTCTTTTTTACTATGCAGTTTCCCTTATTTATTTCATCTTCTTTAGTTAATTAGAATTTTTGTTGGCTACGTAACCAATTTCGTCCACTTTACAGCTACAGTTTAATGTTAATTATTTAACATTGTTATTTTTGCTAGAGAAAGATTTAATTAGATAGCTAGCTGTCAAATTATCCCATTGTCTGTTTCGTGTTTAAACGTCGCATACAACTACATTATCAATTACACTTCATAATGATATTCTTTATTAAAATGAAATTCAAAATGGTACACAACATAATTAAACGTGGCGGATAATAATAGTATAAATGTGACTTACATGTAACTGAACCATCTATTTACGTGCATCCACGAGAAAAAATCTTCTAATTTGTTTGACCTTTAACAGAAAGAATAAATGTTAGCGGCGACTGAAACTTAAAAGTCACGGTCATCATCCGTTTATGAAAATCACCCTGTATAACAATCTGATTATTTTATATAATTTTTTAACCACAATAGCTTACATAATAACAACATTGTGTTACCACTAACATGACCGGAGAGTCCGTTTGCTGTTAATTTCAGTTTTAAAGAATTCCGAACGCTACAAACGCGGTGAAGAAGGAAGGCATCTTCTAGTCACGTTTCCGAGACGGTTTTTCAAAAACTTTAATCGAAAGGTGTTTGTGTAGCAAAATTCTGGAAATAGTAGGAATCCGCGGCATATCTCTTGCAATTCCTTACCAGTGGCGGCTCGTTGGGGAAATGACACGAGGAATACCCACCTCAGTAATTTATTACCAAATAACAATGATAGAAGTTTATTGACGAAGAGAAAAATGCATGATTTCTTAAATTTGTGTATATTACAATTTGTTCATTTTAAAATGGGATCATATATATATAGTACATAACATATATAGGTATCTGTCGAAGTCCGTAAAGACACATTGTCAAACATATAATAACAGAACATCAAAACCAAAGAAGTCCTTTGTATCTTTTTTCGTTAACAATGAGACATTTCATCGATTTCATGTAAACGAAGTAATTAATGAAAGTAGTACTTTTTAATTTATTTTTTATTGGCTCTATAAACAGTGCTTAACAACGTGTCATCGAGTTAGTGCGCTATTTTTTAATCACTCTGTATAGCAGCTTTAATTACTTAATTAGAGCATTCCAGCGTTTCTCTTAAAAAACTGAAATCAATAATTAAAAAAATTGCAGTTTTATGATCACGTCATCAACATTTTGGTAAGGACACGTATATCTATCTACAAAAAGTACGCCGTTCTTTCACACTTTGAAAATCTGGATGTCTGGGGTAAAAACTAAAAATGGATTTATAAACCACAAGAATAAAGATACATGTCATTTTATGAAATTTAAATAACATTTGCTATGTAAAATTTTGAGGTGACGGCATCGAATTGTTAGTGGGGATGATCAGACAAATTTTGCTTATCGTTTTACCATCTACTACAACAGTTGGCAATAATCAGTCCGGTAGTTTCAGTCATTATCTGTCTAGTAAAAATCGATAGAAAAAATACACGGCAACGAGATAACAGGTGTGATTTATGAATCTCTCTTGATTTTTTACCTAGACATTGAGATTTTTAATGATAGTACAGTTCATTTTATTGTTCAAATACACTCCATTTTCCCGAACATTTGGGAGTACACAGTTCGGTTATTATTAGTATTACAACTCCTCTCCAAATTGCTAAAATGATGTGGTGAGTAGAAAATTTTTGAAATTGGGTTTTATAATTTTTCGGAAAAGCTTGAGATGTTCAACAATTTAAACGAATATCCGTTGTGATGTAGGGATTCGGCGTAAACTGCGTTCCGCCGCTACTGTCGTGTACACATTAAAGTTGTTACGTTGTATAGTTTTTTCCAGACTTCACAAAAGTGCCTAGATTCTTCGAATCTTCTCAAATTTAACGCTTTAACAAGTGTGTAAATAGATTAAATAATAGTATTTTATTAAGACATGGCAATCGGTAGCAAATTTAATATAAACCAATGGTGTTGATTCGTTATTGTATGTATAATTTAGACGTATTTATCAAAGGTGTCACATCGTGCGAAACTAACTAAAGATATTTTTTGTTAGAGGGACGGTCGTATTAACGAACACACTGCCGTGAAAACGATTACTTCGTACAAGAAGTGTGATGTATTAACAATTACACAAAAACGCGACAAAAAGTTAATCAATTAAATGCTTTCTTTATATTTATTGGAAACCAAATGAAGCGCGTCTAATTTTATTTTAGTTATTTATTAAATTAGTGCCGTTTACAAAAAGTACCACTTGAAAAATTTATTAAATTAAAGCCTGAAATTAAAAATTTTTCAACACCGCCAATTAATTTCAACCGTGTGTTGATTTATTTCACTACTTTTTTCGCGCTTTTTTACAGTTTACTCTAACACTGTTATTTTGAAGGTTTGATGCTAACAAATCGACCAAAGGAGCCAGCAAGCTACGAAGGGACCTAATAAATGCAGAAATCGCAAATTTGCGTGAGTTGTTACCTTTACCACCGTCGACAAGGCAAAGACTTTCGCAACTTCAGCTTATGGCACTAGTCTGTGTATATGTCAGAAAAGCTAATTATTTTCAACAAGGTATGTATTTTACGTTTTTATCTTGTTAAATATTGTTATATAACTACATTTTCACCATTTGTGTAAAACAATAGTTGTACCTCCGGATTATGCAATGTGTATAATGAATAATAATAACTCACCGATGCTAGGTTTTTTTTCATTATTTATTGGATACGTACTCAATAACAACTAAGCACAACACATAAATTCTATTGGCACCGATTTAATTCTTTTTACGCGGTTTTTCTTGAAAAAACTTATGTGTTTTCTAAAGCCAATGGTTTAAGATGATTTTTACCACTCTACCTCATTGATATGGCCATGTGACAATCATGTGACACGAAAAAACTACCATTCCTTTTATTATTAACGACAAAATTAATTTGTAACATTCTAATTACGTCTTTTTTAAAATTTTTAATTCTTTTATTTTATACAAAACAGTTACACAGTTGATCTTGCAATAAGCTACAATTGTACTAAAACACAAAAAAAAGCTTGTAAAGACAAAGAAAGAAGGGTCAAAATGCCACTGTACAAAGCGATATAAAACGGAAAACTCAAATATAGACACTTGAAATACAAAGGAAAACAAATATATATACATATAAATAAAACTAAAGGTTAACATAAATATGTCTCTTAAAAAGAAATGGAAGTTGGGAAAGAAAGGAAAAATTTCTATGCATATCAATTTTTTATTAAAAAAATATTATAAATAGAAACGAAAACTGAAAAATAAAAGCAAAAATAAAAGAAATGGAGGTTTGGAAAGAAAGGAGACACGTTTTTTATTAAGTAAAAAGAATATGTTACAAATTTATCACTTTCCTGTATTTTATCCCTGTACAATGTTAGTGCGATTGTTAAGAAACAGTCAAAAATTCAAATGTCAAACACGCCCTACTCAAGACACATTGAACATTAGAAATGATATCGTGACAATATTAAATGTATTTCGTGTGCATGAATGTAGCGAAGCAATCGTAATTTTGCCATTTATTTTATGATATTTATGATATAGATTTTATCATTCAGAAAACACAAAACAAAGCTGGTTGTTGTATACAGAATTGTCAATTATTTCTTTCATATGAGACTTGGTAATCATAGTGATGATTTATACACACAAATTTAACTGTTTCTTATCGTTTGATGTTATTTGTCGCCTATAGCAGATTTTTTTTAGTGCACAAAATCTAAATGACTTTGAACATTCTAGTTTTTATTTTTTGCAACAAATAAGTTTTTAAAATTAAAAGATTAACGAGGTCGACAGTGTCGCAAAACGTCTCTATTATAGGCTACTATGGCAACGGAAAGTAAAAAGCACGCGTGCAGGAAATTCAACTTTCCGTACCCTGTCGAGTGCGTGAAATTGATCAAAAATAATAAGTCTACTGACTACGAAAATTAAATCAATGTGTAGTTAATGCTAATTGCTAATTTGTGGAATCTATCAGTCCAACATAACATAAAACAATATTCAGAACAGTAGTGATTTTTTTAGTGTTGCATAGTGTTTTTGTGACGATAAAAAACAATATGACGGGAATTAAAATAAACTAGGTATCGGAAAAATTTAAAATAGTAGTCAAAATGAAGAAATACCTCAATCTTATGAATTAATACTTTACCTTAAAAAAAAACTCTACTTCCTTGTATGCTGTGTGAGTTAAAATAAAAACTGGTAAGATCTATTAATGAACGTTTCAACACTAACATAATAAAAAAAAGTTTGTTCTAATAACACTGCCTTTCACATAACAAACGACCACCGGCAACTCATCAACATTGAAAATGTTGGGAAAATATATACCTACATAAACAAATATGATGAATGGTTCTTCATGTAACTTTATTTTAGCTAAGATTATAACAAGATAGATTTACGATTTCTCACGATGCCTACTTACTCTTCACTGGTTTCGGGGTGTTTGTGCATGTGATGTGTTCAACACACTGAAACCTCTAGATAGTTATTAAAAACAAATTATTTCCATGCGACTAGTAAAAAAATATGCTTTTCTGTTCGAAAAAGAGTGTATATTTTTTAATATATCTCACGTTGAATCACTGAAGCAATTATTCAATAACTGTGCAAGTATGCAACTTCCTGAAAATGATTAATTATTCTTTAGGTGTAATTAAGTATTCAAACTAGCTAAGAAGATTGTTTTCAGACTTTAAAGTTTACGAGATGTGATTATGAGAAATATGCTTGTGGGATGTCGGGAAAGTACATATAATTTCATCTCCAAAAGGAAAAATGTGTTCTATCTCATCATCCATCTTTGTTTCACTCATTTGCATTATCATCTCCGCTATATTTTTCGCCTCTAATCAAACTCAAACAAAAAACGTAGACTAACGACGACGTTTCTAATTTTTTCGGACGATTAAGAAATCTACATCGGGTGAAAGCTGGCAAAAGGCACTAAATTTACCAACAGACAGTAAAAAAAGCGCAATAGCGAATTGCAAGTAGATGACGCCAGTTAGACATATTCTTCAGTATTCCATAAACATTTCAGAGTCTTTCAAGTGACATACGGATCAGATAAGAAGCGTTCGCAGGCACGTATACATGTCTGCTGGAGAGTTAATTGACAGGCCAATCAATGGAGGATTTTGTCACCAGACTCGAAAGGGACATTGATTGACTTAATATTCCACAGTTCAATTTCAATAAACAATGGATAATCGCACCTCTTCAGCTTTTCAGCCAAAATACGTGATTTAACGTTGCTTATTCTTCTACATTGTTAAAAACGTCTTCGCCGCAGAGACGTGACGAGAATTTCCTTAAAAGTGACTCGATTTGTTTTATTGTTTTTTAATTAGTTTAATGCTATCAGGCCGCATCAAGACATCCATCAATAACTTCGCAAGATTGATATCTTGCTGGTATTAGATGAATTCCTTTGATTTATGGCAGTTGTGGGTCATACAATGTTTAGACAATAAATAAAATTACAATGATTTCTCTTTCCAAAAACGGAATCAAAACAAATATTTTGGCTTTAACATTTAAAGCAAATAATGTGGGCGGATGCACAGCCAACTCCAAACTCGAAGCTTTTTTATCAATAATAATAATTAGTGATACTATTAATATTCATTGTGGTGATTCTTCCCCGTGTACAATTTAATTTAAATTTTAATCGAGCGGATAAAAATGTCTGCACATTGAAAGTGCGCGAATGAATTTAAACCTACTATTAAAATGCAGATTCTGAGCAACGAGCAGCTAATTAGCCGAATAATAAGCGGTAATTATAAATACCAGTTTATTACAATGCTGCCATAACTAAGCAGTGTCACTAACCCATCTACTTTGAATCGTAACTGTTTTATAATATGCACATTTTGTTATTTAACATTCGTACCGTAATTAGCTGCTTCTGGTAATTCTTTAAGTTCACGTTGTTTTTTAGTGTGTTTAAAGGAAGTCACAAAGCAGCCACTATGTTGCGACTTAACTGAAATTTAACCAACTTACCGAGACAAAATGGTATAATGACAGGAGCAACTTACAGAAGTGTTCTGCTAAATTAAATACCTACACTGTAATTTTATGCCACAAAAAGAAAATATAAAATTAACGTTAACAATAATAAACATTTTATAACAACAAATATTTACGCCTCAAAGACTCCCTTTTTTATTGTTGTTATTATGATTATCAAGACACGTCATTTGTCAACAGCAATACGGAAATTGATTTTTTTACAAAGAGATTCACATCTTTTACTCAAAATATGTGAATAGTTTAAGGTTAAAGACAGCACACAGGAGTGCGTACAAAACTTATTTACGGTTGGTCGCTAAACAATTAGCGTAAGTTCGGTTGCAATCATTTCCTATTAGCACAAATTGTTGTATAGAAGAGTTTAAATAGGTCTCAAAAATAAAATAAATTGTTACGAAATAAGTGAAATTAACTGAGAAATAAGCATTCTTCAGAGAAATAAAACAACAATAATGTTTGCATTAAGACCATATTATTATTGCTTTTAGTTTCGTGTAGTCAACAGTCTGTTAATTTGTGTCGAGCTAATTACACTTAATTCGTATTATTTGTAACAATAGCTGCTACAGTGAGTGGACATTATCATAGTATATAATTTTGGAAAAAATAATGCTTGTATCTGACGAAAAAAGTACTCTTTCCTAAAGATGCCACTTTTTCGGCAGATGGCCAGAGAAAACACAGAAACAGAAAACCAAAACCACCACATAATCCCTAAAATGTCACTTATTTGCACCGATATTTAATTAAAAATAATGGACAATGTTCCATTTTGAAAAATGCTTACGCAGTAGAGACAATTACAACATTTAGTTTAAAAAAAAGTAACAATGTAACGAAAAATGTATTTTTTGCACAGTCAAATTATCATTAAACATAGTTTTTACCTCATTTTGATATCTCAATTAAAAAAGAAGTCCTGATTCTTACTTTGGTTTTTTTAAATGTGACATCAATCTGTGTTAATAAATTATATTCTTTTTCTCGCAGAGAATATACAATACATATGTACATTTCTTGAAGATGTGTCGCGCAATACATTTTTACAGTGCTGAATTTCGTGATCATGACATTAGTTGGGGAAAATGTTCAAATTGCCTAAATTGTGCAATACGATCTTTCCGATTTTTATCGTTGCACCCGTACTTGCGCTGGAGCGAAATTCAAATACCATTATCATAGAATTTTAACATTTATTTTGCTGTTTTTGTTGCAGCTTTCAAATGCCATGATGTGGGATTGCACCAGCCACCAACGCCCAACATCGGATTTTCAAAGGTGAGTTTCTCACTGAATAATTGTTTACCAGAACCGTAATGACAAAGAAAACAGTACCGCTAGATATCAGTGTGCTTTGTGATCTTACGATTCGCAAAAAGCACATCAAAATTATTTACGGCTTACATAAAGTTATTAATGATAGCAATAAATCAGTTTTGGCTTGATTTATTCCCCCGTAAATGTTTACAAAGTTTGTGTAATTAGGAAATCGGTAAAAAATCGCATTAATAATAATAACGCTAATAGTGGTTGTGCGTCCTAGACCAAACAAGGCTGCGTTTGATCGATTGACAGTAATCGATTTCCGGAAGTTGTAAAAGCGGAATGTTAAACATTTCGTGATTACTTAAAAGAGTAGAGAGGCATCGATTAACCGGCATCGCGATCTTGTTGCGATTTTTAAGTAATTTCCCGAGCATGTTATGTATATAATATTGTGTAGTGTCTATTGCAAATCGTTATTGCCTCCTTCTACTTGAATTATGTATTCAGCGGTTAGAGTAATTGCTATTTGGCCGATGCGTCCAAAGCCCATCGTGGGAATTCTTGTGTTCGCTTCTTAAATGAAACAATTACCCACTTGCGTGTTTGCATCATATTATTGAACCATTCTCGAAAGGTATTTGTTTTTATTTTTATGCTTGATAAATTCATATTTTAGTTAACCCGGGCCGACTTTACTTTCACACGCTTCAAATGCGGATAATTCTAGTTCATTTTGACAAATTTTATATTTCTCGAAACAATTATCCTCTCGGTTTTTCAACTTGTGCAGAAAACAATGTTGACGACATGCGAACCGAACCGCAACAAACGTCTACTTTTTTTATTCGTTCTAGTCCACTTTGTTCTCTATTCCTCTACGCTTACCTTCAAAAAACGATTTTATTATACACGTATGCAAATTGTTTTCTCATAAAAGTAAAAAGATTTCCCTAACATTACACTGACTAAGTAACCAGTGGTGCACGATGAGTATTTGTTGTAATATAAACAACTTCACTTTTTTTTTCTATTGTAAGTATGTATTTTCAAAGCTTATTATAACAGTGTATGAACTTTAATGACGTAACACAATAATGATGTTACAGGTTTGTTTTGGTGTTACACTCAAACAATCTGTCAGATCGTTAATGATATGTTATTAAGTTTGTTTGATAATGATCTTATATTTAAGTATTTTTCTGTGACCAATTTTGTACACTTTGTCTGCAAGGTATTCAATTATAATAATAAAAAAAAAAAAATGACGACGTCATGGCGTATCCACATCGACGAATCTGAGCACTGTTTTCAATACAAAATGGTGAAACATTTATTTTCACTTTTCCTATTTTTCTACACGTACAAATTTAGGCTAGCACTCTTCATTATAAAAAAAATATTTACAAATATTCAAAGCCATGTTTGTTTGTCCATACTGTTCGCTTGTTCCCTATATTTGTATTATTCTACAAGCATCACCTGCGTTAACAATAATTAAAACATTGGTCGGAGGTTGTTTCGCCAGAACTTCCCTAGCCTCTAAAGTACAAAACATTTTCGAAAAATTATAAAATTTGATTTTGCGAATTCTATTTTTTTATGAGAAGCGTTATCCCAGTAAGTTAAAAGAAGCATGCTACGCGTATGTTTTAAATGAGTTTATTGTATTCCCAAATTTGGAGCCATCCGTTTTGAGATGATGTTATCAATTTTTTAGGGGGGGATGGGCAAATACATTTTGATAAAAAATTTACCATGCTTACAATAACTTTAAAATGTCTGCAAGATTTCAAAGCATTCGATCATCTAAAAAATTTGAAAGCGAAACTAAATCGATGCATCTGATTGGTGGATACGCGATTGTCCCCACCCGTTTTTTAGAATTGACCGATTTGTCACTAGACCATTCCACTAGTTGGCAGATCCAAATTAAAACTTTTTAATCTGTAAACTTAGATGCGCTTTCTGACATTTATTGTCTCAGTACGATTTTCCAAGAACAACATCCGTATTAATTAACGGAGTCCGACATTTAAACATTTTTTCTGTGACCAAATTATAATATGGGTGGTGATTTTGTGAACTTGGGTTTTCAAACGGTGAGAAAAATGACTTCGAACAGTCTGATGACTATATAGTTTCTGGTTTATATACTTTACTTTATGATTGTTGTTTATACAGCAAATCTCATTTTTAACCCCGAGTCAGAGCTATAAATATCGATTTTAGTTATTCGCGTAAAGTCAAGTTTATACGTTCTCTAGTCTACCTCGCCCCTTATTCCCCTACGCGCGTATTATTTATTACGCGCGAAACAACAATTTGTTTTCCGATTTAATTACACGTACAGATAATTTTATTTTACGTGGAAGTTTACATATTTATAAATCTTTAATCCGGTGCGACCTTTATGTTCTTACACAATTTCTATTCACACACATCAATTAAAAATTTTATGCTTAAAGTTAAAATTGAGATCGACATTCACCAAGTTGCCTCTAACTGTTTGTTAAAATGTATCGGCATTTACGTTACTGACAGTTAAAAAAATCTAAATTGCTTTTCTACGAAAAGAATGTAATCAATCACGCCCCCAAAATAAAACTTTTTCGACTAGTCTAAAAATGAATTGAAAGTTTTGCAGAAATGGTAAGCTAATGTAGTATGTGGTAGCCATTCGAATCCAATATTTTAGTTTCGCAACTAATAAATGTTGCTTGCGGGAAGCTGTTTCATGTTTTTCATTTTTAAAACTGAACGAAGATTTTTTGACTGCGCGTTTTATTTTTAGTACAAAGTACAAGCCACAACAAAAGTATTGAACTTCGAATTACTTAACTTTGTCGTAAGATATGGAACTGTTCGTTGCCGATGTTGGCGTTTTCAGTTGTTTTTTGAAGTAATTAGTTAAATCTATTACTAAAAAAATATCAAAAAGAAATTAAAAGATCAGGCGTAAAAAGTTGTTTTTACACGCTTGAATCCCGTATAACAAGTGACCTGATAGAGGTAATGAGCTGATCGAGATCAGTTTAATAATAGTATACTAATGACTTAATGAACGAAATTTTTGCACGGGACTCCGTATATTTTATAATTTTTCATAATCTGCGTTTTAATGTTAATGACATTAGTCGTATTATTTTTCTGATGTGGGATACCTGTCACATGAGCACAGCATATCGGAATTCTACAAATGTCACAAATTATACTGACAAATACACAATATTTTTATTGTTTTAAGGTTTCGAAAAACTAAATGGCATTTTATGAAAATGTCAACTCTTTTTACTTTTTGCGAAAAAAGAGTTAGTCATAAACGCCATAGCACATATTACTCAACTTGTCACTGAAATTATTGTTTAATTCAATGTCATTTAGGTTTTGGTTTGGTGGCTTATATGGTGCAAGAGGGAATAAGATATAATATTTACAAGAAAAAACATAATAATTTTAAATATGTACATGAAAAACATGAAGAAAATTCTAAAATAATTAGACTCGTGGCGTTTTAACAAGCTCCAGTGTCGTATAGCAAGTAACCTGATCTAGATAATGAGTTGATCAAGATCAGTTTAATAATATAGTTATAATTTGATGAAGTGAACCTTTGTGCTATTTATTAAACACCTCTAACCACTTACGGAAGACACGATGTGTAAGAAGCACTCTGTCATTTGGCAAAAATTCCGAAAAGCGAAAGATGGTAGTGAATGGGTTAAGAATGGTTGTCCCTTTAATCAGAGTGCTCTGATTTCAGGTTCAATAAACTCAACAATAGTTGCTTGCAAATTCGAGTCCTGCCGGTGTAGGCTGAAGGTGCGCTTTGGCTCGGACCCAAAGCCTCGGATGAAAGTATAACAAGAAGTATAAGCGTATGCGAAAGACTAGATTGTATGTAGTACCGACATCCGAGAAATAAAACAGAGGTCATAGAATTACTCGGACCATCTTTATCGGAGAGCGCATTCGAACAGGGCTAGTTCAGGGCACTTGGGCGGATCTGTATCGAAGAAACGCGGGGTACGGGGACGCGCCGGGGTCAGCTCGTGACCTCAAGCCGAGGGGTACACGGCTACTTTCCCACGGACCCGCCCGCAATATCTACCGCTCTTCATCTGGCTCTAGTCTGTCATTAAATATGGCAATATGTGGTGAGGCAATCCAGATACATGCACAACCGTATCGATTAAGACACGGATTAAGCAATGTAGTGTAAACATATACGTACATTTGCACAACGCATGCATCTTCCTAACCTCAATGCGCGTAATGACACTTAAATATTAGCGCGGATCGCTGCGTGCGCTGCGGCGCCGTTTAACCACCACTTAACGTGACGCGCAACTGCTTAACGAAAAACGTAACTGGAACTTCCTTGGTGGCCTTGAGGTACCGACACGAAATAAAAACAAATTCTGTAACATATCGCGGCCATGTCAAAAATAGAAACGTACTCCCGTTGTCTAAGTAGTATTTTTGACAAACTAAAAAATGTAAACCCTCGCTCTAAAATTTGTACCCAGCATCTAGTTTTCGCTACCAGTACCAGTGATGGTACCAAAGTTAGTGTCATACATTAATATAGACATGCGTGCGTTTCTTATACGTAGATAAATTCACAAGCAGTACCCAATTTCAGAAATATTACTTTCGCCACACCAGAATTAAGTAGTACAACTTTTACGATTAGTCTTACACAAATAAGTCTAAAACATCTCTCCATATGCTCTTATTGTAAATAGATGTACTAACCATATTTTATCCATGCTGTCAACATTAATATGAGACTTTTCTGTTGACCGTGATGCACTACAACAAAAAAAAGATACTATCCAATTTTCAAAAGCTTTCTAATTTCGATAAACATAAAACTGCAGCGTGGAAAATCAATAAACACATGTTTCAGTTGCATACAACCATATATCTATTACTCTTATATTGTGGACTCTAGAAAACACATAGAAACATGATCAAAGCACAGTACAGATATATACTGGAAAATTGACTGT